AAGCACTGTCTGACGCGTCTGCCTCCGCGACCCGAAAGGAGAAGCGGCGATGGAAGATGAAGATGATGTCTTAATTATTTTTTTGGCTTTGTACAATTCCACAGATACGCATTGTACAAAGTATGTCCAGTTTAGCCCGTCCGATTCTGAAACTAAATTGTAACGGTTCGAACGGAACAATAATAAATATCAAATGAAAATGTTGGTGATATGCTAAACTTAAACATCTATAAGCTAATTTAAACCTTTGAAAATCCCTCTAGCACTGAACGTTTTTGAGGTGGGATCGGATGTCCTACGCTGCTTGCGTGTTTAGCAGAAATTTGGACTGTACTCGATTGTGACCATAATATTTTCAGCATTCATGTTCGTTATTCATTGTGGTTGACGATGCAGTAGTGCATCGAATGATTTCGACATCGGTTGCCTCGGTTTCGCAATCGAAAGTGACAATTCGGGTGAAAAAATGAATAACGAGCCAGTAATTGGTGACGTCAGCGACATTCCGGAGGGCGTGCTTGTGAAGTACGAGTACTTGGACCACACAGCCGACGTGCAGATACACTCTTGGGGCGACTGTCTGGCGGAAGCGTTTGAACAGGTTAGAGGATAATGATTACCGACCACTGTGTCTAATCGGTACAGTTTGTTAAGGATTTCTTCGCTGTAGGCGGCGAGTTCGTACCTTGATCTACATGATCGATCACCGGGCTTTTTTGGCTTTCGTACCCCATTACACTGATCTAGTTAGCGATCCGTAGGTAGATTTAGTGAGGTCAGGCATGAGGTAGCCAAGTTTAGCTGGCGATTTTGCCTTCCTTATCTCGCGTCCTTTTCAGAAACTTCAAGCGGGGCGTACCGTACCGTGAATTTTAGAAAAGCTACCTGATTCAGCTCTGTTTTAGAAGTAAAGCTTCCTTTGTTGAGGGATTCTGTCATTTTCTTAAATATTCTATGTTGAAGTGTTTCATTTATTTTTTAAATTTTGAATAAGTTCAAAAAATTTTAGATCGTTTAAATGCGCAAGTTTCTCATCTTTTATCGTTCATTCTACATTTCGCCTTTTCATGTTTGGGTTACTTTTAGGCTGCAGTTGGCTTGTTTGGATACATGACCGATATCACCACCGTTAGAGCTCAGTATACGTATGATATTCAGGCCACTGGACAGGACGATCTCTCTTTACTTTACCATTTTTTGGATGAATGGCTTTTCGCCTTTTCAGCTGAGCCGTATTTCATAGCAAAAGCAGTGAAAATCATTGAATTCGATAGAGTTAATTTCAAAATTTGTGCCCGTGGATGGGGAGAAACTTTTGATTTGTCGAAGCATCCTCAGGGAGCCGAAGTCAAGGCCATCACTTACTCAAATATGCAGGTATACGACGAAGAAACTCGGCATGAAATCTTTGTTATAATTGACATATGAAAACGTATCTACTGAATTTCTATAAGTTTGCTAATTGTTGCAATAAACCAGTTACCTGTTCGTTTTACTTAGAAATGAACGCAACTTGGCTCGGTTGTATTGCTCCAAATGTCGTTCGCTTTCTAGAGAGTGTAGGTGCAAAACATGTCTGCTGACACAATGCCTGTAAGCCTTTTCATTTAAGCTGTTGTCGATCCTGATAATTCGCTTATAAGAAGAAACGAGGCAATGTTGACGCATTGGCCATTCCAGTTGGCATGGCTTCTGACAACCTTGGCCATGGAATTCATCTTACTTAAATCCCGCTCTTCGTCTTTACAGTGTAACTGCTTAAAATATCAGCCTCTTCTGAGCTTAGTCCTTATGTACCTTAGTGTCTGTTAGTGCAGTTTGTAGCTGCACAATAAGGCAGATTGTTATAGTAATAGGGAAGTTTTTCAACGTTCCATACTGCAACCCTTGGAATAAATAAAAATAACATTCGCGTTGGAGCGTTCGCCTTTTACATGAAGTACACCAATAATGCTGTTGTCTATGTCTGCCCAACTTCACCCGTTTACGACTTTAACGCATATAAAATGGCAGTCAACGAAAT